TCTCTTACAAGTAAAACTGAAGTCAAAAAAGTATACAAGTTCATTTTCTGTTTTTTACAGAGAAGTGATAGAATGCTGTATTTAATTCATGCAAAAGTAGTATCCAGTTATTAAAGGACAACCTAAAAATAAGTGAAGAGGGAGATACAGAACATATTTATGGTTTACATACACTAACTTGTCAAAGAAAAGAGTTTTTATGAATCTTAACTCTATGTTTTTCAGTTTCAGTTCTGTATAAGCATAAATAGCCAAAAATTAAAACTGCACTCATGTAACTTAGACCACACCTGGTAACTGTTAGGGAAACTTTCAAGAAAAGTTGCAAAAATGTAATGTGATATTGTTCCTAATGAATTTCTTCACAAGATAATAAAATACATAATTCTGATCAGTACCAGAAAAGCTTGCCGGAAGTCTGTTTTTTCTCTGCCTTAAGTCTGGTCTGAAAATTCTGGAAGGATAATTAATCAGAAGGAAACTGCTTTTTAAGTGGAATAACTTGTAATCTACTAGATTTATGGTTTTGAGAAAGTGGAAAGTTGCCCTTTTAAAAAATTAGATAGAGCAGATTCTAGAGCCCCTCTGATGGCTCCACTGCCATAGAAATAATTAAAGGCAACAAACTGGCAAGGCTCAGTGTCCTCCAATCAGACTAACCCTTGAAGAGCTGTGCCCTACATTGAAGGATGGTGACAACTGGCCTTACTGCATAGCTTAGGATCTTCTGAAACTATTCGGTATGCTTTGCTTTCCATCCCTCTGATATTCCTACACTAGGTATTTTTCTCCTAACCATTCAGTTATCAACATTAAATTATTAATTCATTTAACAAATATTACTTTTTAGACACTATGGGTATCATAACGAATGAGCCAGGAATCTTGACTTTAACAAGTGCACAGTTTTTGCTCCTATTAATGGTCCAAGATATTCTGATTAAGAAAAATATCCCTCTGTTTTGTCTTTGTTACACCTAAGAATCTCTATTACACCAAACCGAGAGATGTTTTCCCCCCCAGGAATGAACATATCTCACATGTATAACTAGCTAAGAATTATATTAACAAGTTTGAGCAAAAAGAACCACATTTACCATTAATTCAGTGGCTGTTATGTGATGCTGGTAAACTTACTCTCTCAGAAAGATCTGTAATATCTCTTGGAATGGCTTAAATTTCAGTTTCCTTGTCCATCATCAGAGCACAACTTCCCAGAACATGCTTTACTTCTGCCTCTCTGCCAGTCCAGCACTTTGAACTCAGTGTTTCACTCCAGCAATAACTTCCTACCTGACCTTCCTTCTCTCTCCGACCCATCACATAGAATGTCTATGGGATAACATTCTAATTTCATCCTGTCATTTCCTTGTTCAGAAAATTCCAGAGATTGCTCATGTTCTGTAAATTCTTATGATTAGCCAGAAACTCTCCCCATACTATGCCTCGCCTTACTTAACCCAAGCCCACCTGTTCTTATTCCAAATTAGTAATTGTATCTCAAACACCCTGAACATTCATTCATTTAAGTTTTTATTCCTGCAGTCCTTCCTGCTGGAAAGCATCCCCCTTCATCCTCCCACTGTAAGTTCAGTTTAAATTCAGCTGCTTTCTTCTAAACTCTCCCCAGTCACTACTGCCCACATCAATTTTCTGAAATTAGTGGCTATTATCGGGATAGCTATTTAGGACTTAATCTTATACTGACTGGGATTGTTATTTAATTGATTCTTCTTTGCAACTTCTCTTTCCAATTAGATTTTAAACTCCACTCAAAGGGGCTCACCTTAAAAGTTGCATTTGAATCTCCTAGTTTTAGGCAGTTGTTATACATACATTTGGTGCTCGGTACATTTAAGAAATAGCTGTGGAATGAATGACCACATCCTCCAAATACATTTTTCTCCTTTCTTTTACAGCTGATGCCAGCCTTTCATTGGGATACATTGTGTGTATTCCAAAATCAATGCTTTCGAACATTTCCAACCATAACCAATAGGAAGAAATTCTTCTTAAATTGTGACAAAACAATACTTATTACTTACACAGTGCAATATATTCTGATGTTTTTCATCCTATTTAAAAACAAAACATCATGACACACTAAATTGATTTGCTCATCACAAAAGGGTTCTATAGTATAAAAAAATAGTTTATGCTCCTTGAATTAACATGAAGTGTATAATATTATTCTTAAACAATGCTTAGAACAGTGCTTTGAATTCTCATTCTGTTCCTGACAGTTCGAGTTACAATTTTTGTCTTTATAGTTACCTTGAAATCACTTCTTACCATATTCCACCATAGCATTTAGAATCAACTCCTCCTCCCACTTCTCCTTTTTAAAATTTAGGACACAGTTAAATAATAATGCACAAAGTATTCTCTAGATTTCTATTTCTTATGTTTAAAATTTAGTGGCATATAAATAAAAATTTTCAGGCCTAATTTTAATCAGACCACTTGCAGATGAATAAAAGTAGGTATCGTCATATTTTTGTTTCTTTACATATCTTAGGAACTTGCATAAGCCTGACCATCCACAATCTAAACCCCTGCTTTGCGAAGTTACTTAACCTGAGCAAGTTAACCTGAGCCTTTATTTCTACATCTATACAGTAAGATTAATAATATCAACTTCAAGGGATTGAGAGGGGTAAAATTAGATCATGCAAGTACAGACTTTAGGACAGGGCATGGAACACCATGAATGGTTATCACTATAACAAATAAGTAAATGTGTCTTAAACTTCCTTTTAGGTTCATAAAGCAAGGTTCAGCCACAAAAACAAGATTACTTTTTCTCTTAAATATTTAGCTCAGCGATTTTCTACTTTTTTCATCTCATGGCACACATAAGCTAATTACTAAAGGTCTGCAGCACACCAAAAAAGATATTTTTTGCCAATCTGACAAAAAAAATTGGAACAGGAATAATTTTGATTCATTTACACCAGATGGCTATTGCTTTGTTTGCTGTTGTCATTTTATTTGACAATCTAAGGGAAAAGAGGTCAGCGCACCTGACTACATAGTCAGATATTGCATGTTTTAAAAATTCTTGTGGCACACTGGTTGAAAATTGCTGATCTAGCTAATTTTCGTGATTGGCTTATTTATAATATAAAATTCCACTTCTAGTTTTATAAATCATAAATATCCCAAAGTCTCTATTTTTGGTGCTGGACAACCATTACATAAGAAATGTCTATTGAAACTAAAAAAACTATTCAGGGTTGTCCAACCCTTGGCCTGTGAGCCACACGTGGCCCAGGATGGCTATGGATTCTGCCCAAAACAAAATCATAAATTCACTTAAAACATTATGAGATTTTTCTTGTTTTCGTTAGTGTTTGTATATTTAATGTATGGCCCAAGACAACTCTTCTTCTTCCAGGGTGGCCCAGAGATGCCAAAAGGTTGGAGACCCCTGATAGTCAGTCCAGAAAGTATCCAGCCATGTAATGTGGAGAGACGTTTATTGAAGAGATAAGGAACATTATACATAGGACAATGACATCTCAGTGCCCTTCAAAGTAGGCACCTTGTGACCGCACACAATTTTCCCAGTCATCATCAGCTGCTCCATCATATTTTCCTGAATCCCATCAGTGGTTTGAAATTTTTTCCCATTCAAAAGCGATTTCAGTTTTGGGAAAAATCAGAAGTCACAATGCGCCAAATCTGCCAAAAAAACTCTGCATGAGACTTGATGCATGAGCAGGTACATTGTCCTGATGAAGCTGCCAATCACCAGTTGCCCATCGCTGTGGCCTTCCCAATCATCCCTGTAGTTTCCATGGATTTGATGCAGATTCATTACTTTACTCAGTCATTTTGAATGCTATGACCACACAGTACACATGCTCACTCAGTGGAGGCATCTACCACCCCCACTGACTAGTACAGTAAAGTCATCATTGTTCACGCATGCGCATTCCAACCCACTCTCCTTGGCTGCCAGGTTACATCAATGTTGCGCAAAACGGTCATATTAACAGTGGATGGACTTTTCCTGGATAGACTATATATATATGTAATAACTTGCCTAGTCATGTTCATCTCATTTAGATTTGATTTCACTTTATAAAGGTTTTTTTAATTTAAAAACCACAAACTCCTGTGTGAAGAGTGCTTTAATTCAGCAAAGTTACTACACACAAGATACATATTTAACACTAAAGATGTGTATGTGGCTGCTTTTGAACAAGGCGAGACCGGGCACTTCATTTCAGCTTTCCCTTGATCCAGTTTTTACATTCCTCTTGCCTTGTTTACCCACCCTTATCTGATCTAGGTCTTGCTACTTCTGGGTGCTTCTGATTGCAGGAGTTTGGCAGTGAACAATACACAGCTACGTTTTCATAAAGTATTTTTCACCCTAATCTGTTCAATTTAGCAATGCAAAACACAGTATCTCATCCATTCTCCTGCAAACACTGGTCCACAATGGTCTAGGCACAGGGGAGCTGCAATCCCTTTCACAATTACTTGAAGGAAGTGATCAAGATTCTCTCAGCCCCACCTCAGTCGTTTGCTAGAGGGCTGCGTTAAGCGTTGAGGCCAAAGCTTCAACAAAAGGGGAGACCTCAGGGAATTAACCTGCAGCATTACTCTCGAGACTGTTGCAAACGCGGACTAAAGGACGCGGGTGGCGGTGGGGGAACCAAAGGAAGCAGAAAGGCAGAAACACACCTGCAACAGGAGGCAGAAATAGAGGAGTCAGCCCAAAGCCCCGCACTCCACAGACTGACCCACAGATGAGATTTAATCCTACCCCTTAAAGGAGGGAGACGCGACCCGGGACAGAAACTCCGTGCGGGAATTCCGCACCTTTCCCCGCCCGCCCCTGGCCCCGCCTACACCGCCGAGCCCCGCACTAGCAGGCGACCACGCAAGCCTGGTCCCTGGGGCCGCGCGGCCCCTGTCGTCACGTCCGGGGGCGGGCCGGGGGGCCAGGGGCGGGCCCAGGTTGGGCTGGGCAGGGAGGGGGTGGGGTTGTGGCGGTGATTTGGGTGACAACGGTCAATAATGAAGGTGGTTGCGGCGCGGCGGCAGGTTCAGCTGTGCCGGGCGGGAACGGCGCCCAGGTCGCGCCTGTAAGACCTCAGGGCGGCGCGGCGTGATGGGGACCCGGCGCGGGGAGTAAGTGAAGTGGCGGCGGCAGGAGCGGCGAGCAGAACTTCAGCCAGAGGGGCTCTCGCGCTTCCCCCTCTGGCTCTTCGGCCTCCACCTGCAGCTCCTCCGTCCCCGCGTCCCGCGGGATCGGGACAGCGACGGCGGGGGCATGTGGCGCTGGGTCCGGCAGCAGCTGGTACGTACCTCCGTCCTCCCACCTCCCGGTGGCCCCCGCGCGGCTCCTCGGGGCCTGGTGGCGGGGAAGAGCCGGCGGCACGGCGTCGCGAGGCCGAGGCGCGGGCATCGGGCTAGGCCTCAGCCGAGGCGGGCGCGGGGGCCGGAGCCGGCGGAGCCCCGCGCAGCCCTGCGCAGCCCCGGCCCGCGTCTCGCCTCCAAGCCCGGGACGCCGCGCTTCCTGCCTCGCGGGTCCTCGGCGGCTGCAGCCGGAAGGGTCGTCCCCACCTGAGCAAACAGGGCGAGGGAACGGAAAGAGGAAAAGAAAAGAGACTAGCGTTTCCTGTCTCTAGCAATTTGGAACACGTCTGAGGAAGGGGAGAGGGAGGACTGGTCTTTAGGTGCCCTCTCGTCACTCTTCACAGTTAGTGTCACGACTCAGTGTGGCGTTGATTATCTGGAAGGAGGCTTCCCTGTCTGGTCTAACTCTTGACAACGGAAGAAGTGCTACCCAGGGCCTGGGTCAGGGACAAAGTATTCCAGCACCCCGTTTCGATTCGGAAAAGACAAATAGGATAGTTATGGAGGACTACGTGTTCCTACCTTGTCCTCACCGCACCCCAAGTGAAACTTTTGGAATGTAGACCTTACTTTCTTTTTTTCTTTCTCGTGAAGGCAATTTGAGCGAGACAAGTTTGGAACCAATGAGACACATCTGGGCCGGGGGATAGAAACCTTAGAAGAGGGTGACTTAAGGCGTATCAAAAGCGCCGCCTTTTTTAGAATTCAGGGAGAAAAAAATCTTACCTCCTGGCAACTACAGCACTAAGGCAACAGTGACAAATTAGGACAAAAATTGCTCCTGGCTGAAGAAGCCTTACTTTGTCTCGGTAATGAGGTCTGTTACTGGTTGCTGCTTAATTTCTAAATCTCAATAGTTAAATTGCTTCTACAATTAAATGGTTTCATTTATTCATTCAAAAGGCATGAAGCAAAAGCGATTTTTGTGAGATAACTCTTTCCCTGCTCGTTAACAGCATTTTAATGCCAAGACTGAGAAGTATGCTGTTTCAGAGCTAGCCTTCTGTTAAGTCATTTTGCAGTGGGCATTCTAAAAAAAAAAAATTACAAATAAAACTAGAACTGCCTGCCACTCCCTCAAACAAATGTTGGCTTTCTATTTTTAGCTAGTTGTGATTTCAGATATCCCAGATATATATGCCTTCTTAGGAAACCAAGCTAATGATACCATTATAATACCTTACTGTGGCAAGACGGACTTCGTTGCAGTAAGCCTTAGCACACTAACTTGACTCGAAGTTAATCATTACAGGTCTGATCTGCTTTTGTTTTGCCAATCTTCCCGTATAGATGGCTTGTTTACCTAATGGTGTTTTTGTTTGGTTAGGAGATTATTTTAAAGTGGTTCTCTTAAATGCTTCTCCTAGTAGATTAAGACACCACGTCTCAATGTTAAGTATTTTTGTTAACCTGAGTTAAATCCTGTTTGTATAACCCACTCATCTTCAAGACAGGCAATCTGGTAATGTTTTTTTAAAATGGCTTCAAATGAATGCAGCGGAAAGCAAGGGTGGGAAGTTGTATGGTTAATTTATAAGATAACTGCCCTACTGCGCGGTTAACAAGTTGAACAAGTGGCTGTACATAAAAAATGCTATCTCTGGCATTTAGTTGCTCACCTCACTGGTTTCATTTTTAAGTTATCAGATCTTCTAAGTATGTAATTAGACCTATGTTAATGTAGGACTTTGTACCTCTGATTAACTTTGTACAGTCACTTAAATTATACATTAGGAATAATGGATACACAGCAATGAAAGTGTATTTTACTATCCCAGCCATAAGCAGCTATTGTAGTTACTACACCAGGAATAAGAGTTTAGTAATCCATTTGCTTAATGGATTGAGCCATCCATGTCTTTTAGCAAGAGGTTCATTAAAAAATTGTGATAAATGGGACAGAATTGGGAAAATTAATATGCAGATCACAAATACAGGTTTTTAGAGTTCTAAACACTCTTTAATTGTTACATGAATCCTGATTTTCAACAACTTATGCTGTCTTGCCAAAAAAAAGTCTAGTCTTTTCATTTTATTGATTTATTTATTTTATTAACAGAAATAACTGATATGCCCTAGTAATTTCTCCCTAATTACAGAAAATGTTTGACTCCTTATCTCCACAAAGTGTTTTCACTAACTAGACTCAATGAGGAAAATCAGGAGGTTGTCAGAAGGTTGATTCGCCACCCCACCCCTTGGGGAAGTGGAGTGGAAAGAAAACATTGGAATATCCTTTCTTTCTCTTTAGTTCTTTGTTTTTTGGCTCACAATGCTGAAGTTATTTTACACTAAGAAAATTTTCTTATGTCTTTTTGGTACAATTAGCATTATTCATAGTGTGCTCATTTCTAGCAGCGTATTATGTGTGTTAACCCAAATGGTGGCACATTCATTATATTAGTGAAAATGTCATTAGCTACTCACTGTATTCTAATATTTAGTTTTGTATGGTAGTTATTAACCATACTTGCTATTAAAATAAAAATGTAAATTAAAAATAATGTGACTGTTAGCTCTACCATATTGGACAGCTCGGAGTAGAAGGTTTTCATTATCACGGAAAATTCTACTGGACAGCACTTCTTTAGACTTTTAAAGGAAAGTCTTTCCCAATGCATATTTTAGTTGATACGTAATATCTATAGGGCAGTGTAATGCTGTTTTTAAAGCACTTCCTGTGTGTAGACATTATAATATGCTAAACACTGAAGATGTGAATGGAGGTCTGTGATGGCCTTTTATGCTCATCTTTTATGCTCACTGTCTCACAGTATTTGACATAGTGTAGACATTGGGTACATGTTTGCTGAATATAGGTGAAGAAAGAAAGAATGAATCCTGTGGTATTGCTTCTGTGTTCAGAGATACAGTGACAAAATTCAAGATTGACCAGTCCAGAAGAAAGCTATACAATTGCTGTATTTAAAAAAAAAATACAACTTCATGTTGTTAAAGTAAGATACCATTTCTTAAATTTTTCTGTAAATGTAGTCTCTTCAGATTTGTATTAGCATTGGTGGAAGGGCTGGTAAGATTGTTTTCTGATTCACTGAGAAAAATGGGAGGCTCTTAACCTAAACTGTCTCAAGTTTCTGTTCTCTCCCCACACACACTCACCAAACATGTCTATAATTGTACTAAATTCTTCCCTTTCCACCTGTCACAAAGGAAGGTGTGACAGTCCTCTTTTTTAAACTAACTACTTGGGCTACTAATCCTGTTCTCCACAGTCTTCATCAATTATCAATACTAGTATGTTTACTGTCTTACTCTTTTCCTGTAACCTGTAGACATGTTCAAGCCCCTCTGCTATTTTATTTTGTCCTGTACCTGAAAATGTCAGATTATTTTCAGTTTTCTAAAAAATAGGTTTATCCTGAATAACTGTGCTGTCCAATACACCTGAAGTATGGCTTGTTTGAATGGGGATATTCTTAATTATAAAATACACGCAGGACTTCAAAAACAGTATGGAAAAAGAATGTAAACTATCTCAATTTTTTTGTATTAGTTACATGTTAAAATGATATTTTGGGTATATTGGGTAAAGTAAAATATTACAATTAATTTCACCTGTTACTTTTTACTTTTAAAAATGTGATTACTAGAAATTTTAACATTACAAATGTACTTTGCATTTGCAGTTCATATTATATTTCTGCTAGTACTGATATGTTTCTATGTAACACATAAGTCTAGATCTCTCACTCACTGGACTAGACTGTAAGTATTTAAAAGCAAAGACCATATCTTAGTTATCTTTATATTTCTCACTCTCAAGACAGCAGCTGGCCCCATTGTAAGTACTTGCATACCAAATGTTGGTTGAATGAATGAATGAGTGTCAGATTTATTTCAGCAACAGGTTGGAAGTACCTGCATTCTTTGCCTTTCTGTTTGCTTTTCTCTCAAGGAAGGAAGAGTAGGAAAAGGAAGCTCAGGCCTGTGATGGTATTGTTTTGGTGTGACTAAAAAGTTTTTCCCACAGGAATTAATATTTAAGGACCTAGCTCTTTGAATATTTGCTTCTTTTATCTCTGTGTTCAGACATATATTCTTAGATACCCAATTTTTCATTTGATATGGGAGGGTCAAGCATTATAGGAATCCCAAGTGTCCCAGCAGCAGTGAAGTAGGGAGCTTGACCAGACCTTTAAAGAACTTTATAATTTCTGTTACTGCCATTAAGTGTCCCTTCTATCCCTGTAGACTGTTTTCACCATAGCCAGAGAGATCTTATTAAAACACAAGTTAGATCACGGAATTCCCGTGTTTACAACCTTCTAAGAACTTGCCTTCCTGCTCAGAGTAAAAACCAGTCTCTCTTTCATCTGTAGACTTTCTTCCCCAAACCCCTTCTCATTCCCATCACTCTTCACTCACTTTGCTTTATCCACACTGGCCCTCTTGTAATTCATCAGCAGTGTCAGGCCTACAGTACTTAAATCTCAGGATCTTTGCCTTGGCTGTTATTTCTGTCTGGAGTGTTTTTCCTCCAGTTATCTGCTGGTTCCCTTACTTCCCTTCATGTCTTTATTCAGTTGTTATAGGTGAGTCCTTTCCTGGACATTCAGTATAAAACTAAACCTTCCACAAGACTTTCCTATTCCCCTTCCCGGCTTTTTATTTCTCCTAGCACTTAATACTATTTAATAGATTCTGTGATTTTCTTATTTATCTCATTTATCCCACGAAGATTGTGATTTTGGTCTTTTTATGTTAGTTCTTCATATAACAAGCAGTTACATGCATCCGCTTTTAGGTAACACCATTTCTTTCTCATTTATTTATTCGTTCATTCACGCAAACATTTTCTAGGCACCTACTCTGACAGCATGTTGCTAGGCACTGGAATTACCAAAATGAATCCCTGTCCTAGCTAGTCATCTAGGAGTCTCTTCTTCTCTAATAGATATCATTGTCGTCATTTTTTCCCCT